GTGGCCCAGTAGATAGGTGGTTATTTGCAGCCACGAATCTCATTGGAATAATCACGCTCCAAACCTTTTTCCGAAGGCGCAGCTCGTAAAGCATTTTAGAATGGGATTCGGTTATGAATATTGAAATGAAATATGTCGTTCATTGAAGGGTTCTCGTGAAATGTTCATGTGGCCGATATGCTATTGCCAACTGCATGGTTAGGTGTAATCTTTCCTTCGTCGTCGTCCTATTCCTCCCCCCCCCTCTTCGTCTACCTCTTTACTTCGTTTTCTGTCTTCCTCGTCTGTGCCGTCCTCTCCCTTTTACCCCCCCCCCCTATCCCCTGCCTTTTCGACTTCGTTTTCGTCTTGGTCATATTCTGCTTCTTGGTGGTACTTTTTCTCACCCGTTTTCTTTTATACCTTCACCGGCATCACCATTGTTGGTATTACTTTGTTATAGTCATCATGTTTGCCGCACACATCATCATTTATTATGTTTCTTTTCTTTTGCTATTTTTATTCTAAACAACGGCGTTGCATCTTATTGCTATATTTATTATTTTATCTGCAGTCGCCATCACGCCTTCGGCAATTATATCCATTGCCATTGTCGCTATTTTGTTATCGCCACTGACCTTGTAGATAAGCGCATGCTATTTGATTCCATCGTATCAGGATATACACGGAACGCTCTTTTAGCATTTCTATATTTGATAAGATATTTCAGCAGTGATATTGTTTGTCAAGGGTATTCCTACAGGAAGGAATGCAGAGTTGCCTGTATTGAAATGGGGAGGGAAACCCCGGAGATTTTTTTATGAGGTAGCTACGTGTTTGGCATACATGGGCCTAATGTAGATGCGGCAGGAAGTGGGCATAACCTAAATAGATTTTGTATTAATTGATTGATTAGTTAATCAGTTTAGTTATTTTGCTAGACCAGAGATATGTTACACATTTTACCAGCATATGCTTTTTTAAAAACGCTTTATCGTTGTTATCACTTGTTTTGTTTCACTATCTTATAAATTGCTAAGCTGTACAGAGACGCATGTCACCTATTTTTATCACCGGGGTTTAAGAACCATTCAGTCGTCAGAGCAATCCTTGGTGGTAATATTTTTTATAGTGAATCTAGGAGAAGGCATAATTGTGCACATCAGTTTTCTCTCTTCCTCCTTCGTACCCTTCTCGTCCTCCTCCTCCTTTTCCTTCTTTTCTTTTTCTTTCTTCTCGTATTCCTCCTCCCTATGTTTCTTCTTCACTTCCTTTTTCATCCTTCCTCTTCTCCTCTTCCTACCACTCCCACTCTCCTCCTTACTCCACTCTCCTTCTATTCCCCCCTCATCCCTCCATCCCATCCTCCCTCCCACCCTCCTCTCTCTCCTCTCTCTCTCTCTCTCTCTCTCTCTCTCTCTCTCTCTCTCTCTCTCTCTCTCTCTCTTCTCTCTCTCTCTCTCTCTCTCTCTCTCTCTCTCTCTCTCTCTCTCTCTCTCTCTCTCTCTCTCTCTCTCTCTCTCTCTCTCTCTCTCTCTCTCTCTCTTCTCTCTCTCTCTCTCTCTCTCTCTCTCTCTCTCTCTCTCTCTCTCTCTCTCTCTCTCTCTCTCTCTCTCTCTCTCTCTCTCCCTCTCCTCTCTCTCTCTCTCTCTCTCTCCCTCCTCTCTCTCCTCTCTCTCCCTCTCTCCTCTCTCTCTCTCCCCTCCCTCTCTCTCTTCTCCTCTCTCTCCCCTCTCCCTCTCCCTCCCTCCTCCTCCCTCTCTCTCTCTCTCTTCTCCTTCCCTCTCCCTCTCTCTTTCTCTCTCCTTCCCTCTCCCTCTCCCTCTCTCTCTCTCTCTCTCTCTCTCTCTCTCTCTCCCTCTCTCTCTCTTCTCTCTCCTTCTCTCCCTCCCTCCCTCTCTCTCTCTCTCTCTCTCTCTCTCTCTCTCTCTCTCTCTCTCTCTCTCTCTCTCTCTCTTCTCTCTCTCTCTCTCTCCTCTCTCTCTCTCTCTCTCTCTCTCTCTCTCTCTTCTCTCTTTCTCTCTCTCTCTCTCTCTTTCTCTCTCTCTCTCTCTCTTCTCTCTCTCTCTCTCTCTCTTCTCTCTCTCTCTCTCTCTCTCTCTTCTCTCTCTCTCTCTTTCTCTCTCTCTCTTCTCTCTCCTCTCTCTCTCTCTCTCTCTCTCTCTCTCTCTCTCTCTCTCTCTCTCTCTCTCTCTCCCTCTCTCTCTCTCTCTCCCCACTCTCTCTCTCCCCACTGCTCTCTCTCTCTCTCACCCACTCTCCTCTCTCTCTTCCCCCCTCACTCTCACTCTCACTCTTCCATTCGCTCTCTCTCCCTTCCCCCACCATATTCCCTCTCCTCTCCCTCTCCCTTCCTTTTTTTTTTTTTACGTCCCGCCCTTCGCACTGCGCCTCCTGCCTCTGTCCCATCTCCCTTTAAAGAGACAGCGAGAAGCAGGAATGGCGGACCGTAGTTGGCTGTGGAAGAGCGGGAGGTAGGGTGGGAGGAGGTGGTGGATAGGTGATGCACTGTCTTGCATCG